ATATACTTGCCACAGCAAGCGCATGTGAGTTCATAAATCCAGTTGAAGGGAACGTGGGCAGGGTATCTTTCAAATTTTGACTGATTCGGTAAACATGAGGTACCGTATGCTGATGCAAGTCTGGCCGCAGGAGAGCCTCCTGACAGTTCTCGTCTGGTTATGGTATCCTTTTTCTTGGAGTGTAGGTGAATGAAAACCTGCCCAACATTTGGATACTTACTTTTCTTGATCTGCTGCATTCCGCACTTCATAATGAATTTCTTAGGATACCCGTTCTCGCTAAGACAGTGGTTAGCGATATTTAATTCTTCCTCTAACTTATCCACTGAAAATGAGTTTCCAGCTGTCGTGTCAAGTGTTTTGAATAGCTCAAACGTATAGCTAACAAGACAAAAGTATCGTAGTTGTGGTATATTCCGTATGCCTTTCCTGTAGGTGGTCTTTACGAGAGCACCATCGACTCTTCATCTCACGCTGAGATGCAAGAAGATGGACTCGTTGTCATGCTCAGATCTCATCATAAATCTTACGCGTGGACGAGCCTGCTGAGCTTGTCGAATGACCGAGTTGTGGCGTTTATGTCATTGCAAACAAAAAGGGATCATCGACGCATCTGCGATAACAAGTTCTTCCTCTGACGACTGAGCTCAGGAGCCACTGTTCAAGATAATCCATGAAGAGGTGAACCCATTGCCACCACATCAATCTGTTTATGAGGTTGGTTATTGAAGTGGATAATACAATTGATAATACAAGCGACGAAATGCAGACTGTATACCCCCGAAGACTGGCATTCATGCTAAAACACGGTCAATTCAGCAAACGTTTAAAGCGACCTGAATACGATAGCTGGTTATGCGCCTCAACTAAGCAAGTGGTGACAGGCACAATTGTGGATAATTTCAAAATCTACTTACGAGTCTGTTAGTAGCATATAGTACGACCGTATATTTACGCCTAAATCAAGCGGTGAAAATATATGTGTTGACTGTTAAACTAGACACTAGCAGAAAAAGTTTCATGGCACTTGTCACCGACAGCTGTACACTACGGTTCACGTCTCTTTTCGGGTGTTGTAATGCAGCGACATTACCGTCCTCTAATGCGATCGCATGTAGGTCTTTAGGCTCCAAAAGGGGGTCCGGAAGGGGGGAAATAATAGTATTTATTCCCAAACGTGGGACACATAAATAAGTTACTCCTGGGTGACTGGTTGAGAAATGCGGATACTTGGCTCTCATTCACAGTACCAAGAAAGACTATGGATCTTTGGTGTGAAATGGTATCAACAAAAATGAATTATACGGCCATGGAGTCACCAATGAGGTACAACAAATAAAAAACTTATGGATACATTCCATTATGAGCTTTTCATCACTATTCTCAGCAAAATGCACAAGGTATTACAGTAGAAGAACTAGCCTCGAGCTTTATTTTTCTCTAGGCAATACATGTAATTTCGAGACGTAAATCCTGGTTTGTTATCAATGCGGAGACAAGACTTATAGATTTTTGCCTACTTATCTTGCTGGGATGTTCCATTATGTAAAAAGTAGGACTTATGTGCTCTAATAACCGAACAGGTGGGGATTGAGATTACCTGCCATGAAGAAACATGTAATTCATATGGTGACTTATTCATATCTGTAAAAATGGTGTGAGCCTGCATATTCAGGCATAAATATTATCATTATTATAGGTGCGAGCCCATTATTATTTAACTCAACATTCAAGCAGTTCGAGGGTTCCTTTTAGTGCACTTGATTCTCCTTCAGATATTACAACTTTAAATAACCCAACTTAGTCAGTGTAAGGAGAATCGTGGGGTTGAGGCTAGATGGAAAGTCACTCTCAATAGTCAGTCGCCCCCAAAACGCTCCCCGTGACATACCATATGACGAGGCAACGCAACTGTTTGCGAAACTCTCTGCTGCCTAAATGGCTGCCGATCCGGGAAGCACCTGACTCAATCTTGCTATCCTTTGTTTGAGAGTTGCGTGTAATCGCATAGATTGCCTCAGCCAAGTCCAAGAAAATCAGATGAACGGAGACCCGGAATGCAGACCATATGTCACAGGCCAGCAGAAAGTTTAAGGCGCAGAACCTTCAAGTCCGGAGGCCATAGTGAACGTCACTTGGCGCCCCCCTTTTGCTCAAGTATTTCTTAATGTTACTGTCTATCACGCTTGCCATTACTCTGGATAGCATTAGTAGAAGTCCAATAGATCGATAACACTGCTCTCAGCCTGCTTTTTCCCCTGAAGACTGGGAAGAAAATGGAACATCACCTCCATGGGAGCTAATGTTTGTCCAAGGGAAACCGAAACAGTTTGCTTGGCGGACTACACTGGGAACCGGCATATTTTTTCAACACAGACTTCGGAATGCCACCACATCCTGGTGATCTTCCTGCGCAAACTTTCCAGCGGCTTTTCGAGGACCGTTCTGGGAGCTACCCGTACCCTCTGCAACTGTACATCGAGTAGAGTTGAGCGTTACCCTGGCAGTTAGTAAGTATGGTTGCCTGGTGGAATATTAACTTGTGTTTCAAACGTGGCGCTAGATGTTTCAGCAGTCATGGGTCCAAAGAGGTTCTATCTATTCGAGCCTTTCGTGACGCAAGCTACCTGGCAGGTAGACTTTCTCTCCATCATGAATCAACATAACTTGCTAGGATTAACCTGAAGCTTCTAGTCAAAGTTTGTTTGGAACAACCTCTAGCCCACCTGGACCATGATGCTGTGGGGACTCCCCAGAGCCATATTCGTGCCAAGATGCGGCTGTTTTCTGAGGAGCCCCTGGTAAGTGCCATGCTTCTCCTCAGTGTCCCATTTCAGCCACAGGGTGTTTCTGCGACCGTGGGGGTTTTTTCAGAGATCACCATCCTAATGCTGTCATTCACTAACTCCTAGTGGCGGCTTTTGGGTGAAAAACTCCACTCCTTGGGTCGTGAAGCTATCAGCGGATTTTGGATCATCATCGCATAGTTTGTCTTGCAGAAGCGAAGACAAGGATGAGATGCCCATGATACTTCCTAACTGGTTACTCAATCAAATACCATCGTGTCGTGATCACAGCGGCTGAGAAAGGTTCAAATGCCAGCTTTTCCTGGAAGCAGATGGTAGCTTATTATAAGGTGGTCCGGTTTTCATGACTTTCAACCCGGTCACAGTGACAGTTACTGCCAATCTTTCCATATGACTCAGTCTTTTCAACTACTTCGAGTAGGCCTCGGCCTAAAGTGCTACCCGAACTTGCGATGTCTTGCCCTGAGTTGAGAGTTGGGGCAATAAGATCTGTAGCTGCGGTAATCTGAGGGTACCCTACGGTCGTCAGTGTGGATGTTCCAGAGAGTAGCTGTCGATTGTGTTCTAAGTGGTTAACTGGGGTTCGATAGATTCCTCCTTAGGCCCTTCTTGTGTGCAAACGTGGAATGGCACCAGACACAGTCCTTTAGCTCTGTCAGTACATTGTCAGCATCTCGTTCGCTTTCGAAATCGTCACTAATAAATACCCCCTTCCCTGTGTTCCCTGTAGCTCCTGAACAGACATACGCTGTTTGTACTTGTTTTGATGTCGGTAAGATCTTTCAGAACCACGATTTTCGCGGTTAAGAGGAAACGCATCGGTCTTAGATCCCCTAACATTACTGTGAAGACAGTTGAAGGTGCTTCCCACAACTTAGGGTGCTGTAGCACAGGCTGGCACTGGAGAATCGCGTGTGGCGCTGAAGACTGCCACTGCCCGATTAGTTCCGATGAAACCACCTCACAATGGGTCGATAGTGATGATGCATATTCCCCGTACGACAGAGGTTGCATAAAAAAAACCAGCTAGTAAGTGTGATCAGTCTGGATACTTGAATTCACTCTTATGGTGAGCAACACACAGTTATCCAGACATAGTTATTTTGAGCACATGGGAAATGAGTTAATGAAAGTATCAGACGAAACTTTTATATTTTTTTATATTTATATTAAGTGCAGGAATTCGAGGAATACCTGAGGACTTAATTTTTGAGACCATTCAGCATGATTGCCGTGAGTAGAAATTCTCAAAAATGGCTATGGTTGTAATCAGTGTCATCACGCGTGCAGTGCCGTACATTCGTAAGGGCGGTGATGATCTTAGATCTAGGTGGGCCAAAGTGGTAGTTGGTGGTATTGTCTCATAGTCTTATTGTAAACCTATTTAACGATAAGTTGAAGACATTTTAAGAGCGCACGAGAGTATGTTTAGTAATTTTCTGACATTTGGATGGTCAAAGCAAACAAAAAAGGAGCAAATAGACGAAATGAATTCCACGAAACATTTTTGGCAGCCAAAAGTTTAAGCAAGCTGCCAGTCAAGAAAACGTGTGGCACTCATGAATGAGTGAAGCCAGCCTACGCAAATATTTTCGTTGTCGACTACCTCCTCCCAAGTGGATAGGTGTTTAGATAACCAAGTAGGACTGTGAGCCCTAGGTCTTGGCGATGACCTAGCGAGGGGCAACTCACCACTCTTCACGGAGAAAACTTCCATGGGGGGACATAGTTGGTTCAGGTAGTCTCTGACAGACGGTTATGTTTTGATCAAGACTTTGGGGAACTATGCGGAGTTTGCGTAGACTGAGAGATTGTTCAAACTCTGAGGGTCTTGCCAAATGATATCAGCTTTCAAAAGCAGCCAGCGCAAAACACTATCAAAGTGTAGCCAAGTGGTATTCTTATCCATGCTTTGTATATTAGTCACTCATTTGAGCACAGTAGTTATCTACTGTCTGAAGTATCGGCTGCAGACCTTCAGGTTACATTTCCTTTTGGATCTAGTGTTAGGAGTGAAATTCGTTGCATTTTCAATACTAATCTGTTTTTGAAAACTTAATAGCAAGCTTAGGGTTTGATCTGACCGTGCGAGCAATGAATATACAATTTCTGCTTTGAAGTATATTTCGTAAGTTGTGATCTTTAGTTGCGTCAGTTAGTAAACAGTAAACTCCCGGGATTTCAAATATACTGATGAATGACCTGTCTCTGCGCACAAGAGGTTATTTCAAGTTTCTAACCAACTGTCCGGCGAACAAGGTACTGTATACGCCATACAATTTTCGCCTCACCTAAATTATTCCAGGATTTCGTGCTTTTATAAGGTCATCAATTTACTATGAAGTTTAGACGAAAATTTTAATCTGAACGTTAAAAGTGATCAATTCCTTGAATATTCATTCACCATATTTTAGAATTCGTGACTTGCAAACAGATGCATTGTTTAGGTTAAACCTAGGGCTTTGCATATAGTTATCTGTTCTGGTGCTGTGATTTCAAGTTTCATTTCAGCCTATTGTGAACATTTCGAGTACAATTATTAGCCTTGCCAATGCACTAGTTCGTGGTAAATAACTCGACGTAAAATGTATTCTGGATCTCAAACTTTTGGATGAGGCCTCAGCCTTGTGTTTAGTTACTGGGCATCTTCACACCTACGTTCCATAATATACCGTAACTCATAAAATGTTGTTTCCATTCCCGATTATTTCCGCTACTTTCATTCAGGTTTTAAACCTTGATATTCACTCATAAAGTAAGGAAATTGGTTCCCGGATTTTATTGCTTTATTTTATCCAGCTGGATAAAGTACTGAAGTACTTACTTCGATAACATAGTACGTACATACTCTATTTTATCTGTTTGTAGAAAGAAATGAAATTTTTAATTTTTTTCACCAAGGTTTTGGTAGGTAAATTCACGCTTTCTTTCCTCCCAAAGTGGTTGCTGTTGGTTTACTGATATGCTGGAACACCATATGTTTAAGTGGAATACATATTCGTGTTCTGCTTAATACGTCTGAAAAGCGAAACATTTTACCAATTCTTATCTGGATACAGTACTACCGCCATTATTTGGAACTGCTTTGTCTTAGCAAAATAAACTAGCTTTTCAAGCCGTCATTTCATACGGCCTTATTCAAGACATTTGTCCTTCATTTAGTCTATTATTTACTTAGATTAAGGTATAAGTATTATAACATGTCTTATAAATGAAACCCTTGCTTACCCGTAAAACCTTTTTCTTTTCCCCCTTAAGTTTTGGAGCCCAACGCTTGATCCAAATATTAAGTTTACTGAGAAGCAAGTATTTTCATAGACCTATGAAGTTAACAATCAATAAATATACAGTTGGGGGGGGGGGGCGGTAGAAGAATGAAACCTGGTATGTTATTGATTGAGGCTTCTTAAGTTGGCAACTAAATCTTGAAGGATCTATCAATAAAACTTTGCATCACGAATCTGTCACTGGATACTTCTTTTTTGAAAAGTAACTGGTTTACCGACTAATTACAAGTCTTCGAGAAACGATGAACGAGTAGGGCTTTTTTCATAAAATCATTTCAGGATATCCTCATTGTGCTTCATTGCATTTAACTATATACTGACAAGACTTGTGTGTATACACGAGAAATGAGATGTGAATAGTCAGAAAATACGAAGTTCATAGTGCAAAAATGATGTAACTGCTGGTTTTATTGTTGGTATTTTTCACTAAGTTTACGTTATGTCAGATTTAATCACCTTTATTCATCCAGTTCAACAAATGTGAATCTAGTAATTTTTATCAAATGACACAGATAGCGTATCTAGGGGAACTTTTGGTATCTCAGATTTCAGACTAGACTTTATATTTTTGACTTGAGGATATAAGGGATGGGCCTATTTTAGCTCATTACCAGTAAATCGCTATGTTTGTCCAGTACCTTCTTGAATGAATCAACTGATGAGAGGAATACCCCTTCTTCTGAAGGTAGGTTTCAAGACCTAACTGCCCAGGGGAAAAGCCAAAACTCTACAAAGATGATGTTTGTCCCTTCTTTTCTGCTGTCCTACTCTATCTTCTGAAATGCTCCTACCTCACGGGCAGGAAAAGGAAAGGCAGATAGGGTTCACAGACACTTTTTAAAATCGTGTATTTCATGACTAAATATCTCTGTCTGCAACACAAAAATGGTAGGATGTTTACCTCTTGAAGTCATCATACTACCATCACAGGTCATATACAGTTGGCTTTCCTCTGAATTCCTTTGACAATGTTCGAATCACCTCTCAAATACGGAATTGTCACTTGTGCACACCCTTCAAGGTTAGATATTACTCTGAGTGTACATAAGGCGGTGGAAGTTTCATCGCCTATCCAATTAAATGTTCTGCGTAGTGCCTAAATTGTCCTGAAACTCCGGGCTGAAATTAGTCGGCAATCTGCTGAGATGCCTTGTCGAACGCCTTATTTAAATCTCTAAAGGTGGCGTTTAAAGGCTTCTTATCATTCTTAAACTTAACCCAGCTTTTTCTGACTGTAAGAAGGTTTTTCACATATGACGAACTTATGGGAAAGCCGTGTTGCTAATGTGACGATAGGGTGTTACTTTTTAGATGATCCGTAGTGACTTTGTCGATAACTGTCAGTAGGATTTTAGCTGCCATCCTAGTCCGGTCTAGTAGTCGTGACTTGATGGGCGTTGCCTAGAACCTGCCTTATCGATATATGAAACAGTTTCATCCTTCCAGTTGTATGGGATTACGTCTTGGCTGAAAGAGACCAAATATAATGGTTAGTAGGACAGCTACGTAGCTTGGATGCTGCCTGAGGAGACTTGGGCGCAGCTCATCTTGTCCTGTGGGCTTTTTTATATGCAGAGTACTTGAGTCCTAAATGTGATAGCGTGGTCGATGCCTACAGAATATTTTCTGTTGGGTGTGCATGCTTCTGTTGTTAAGATTATATGGATTGAACACTCTTGGTTAAAGACGTCAGATATAACCCCTGCTTTTTTGATATTGTCTTCAGTTAACTAGTCAGTTCTTGATTCTTCTATTAGGGCGGGAAAGCCATGACACATTTTACTCCTAAGGTTCAGATAAACAAATAGGTCATTGGGGTGTTCTACCTTATCCTGTGTTAAATGCATTTTGAAGAGCATTTAAGACTGACTTATCTTATTGGTGCATTTATTCCAGATTATTTTGCGATACTTCTTCACCTCTGGAGGACCAAGGTTGGTGATAAGACTTTAACACATTTTTGCTCCCGTTTTGAACTTCGAGCTTTGTGCTATATTAGGTGAAGGCAATGGTTCTGTTTCTTTAAGACAGTTATGAGAGTGAACTGCTGAGTCGTTCTTGCATACAACTGTTTGAGGAAGCACTACGCAACCCCAATTAGGGCTCTCAGATTAACTATCCCGTTCTCAAAAGAGGCCTCTGGGCTAGTAGCTGCCATGTTCGACTTACAAACGATGGGTCCAGCTTGGAAGTTGACCTGGCACAACATGACTACAAATAATTTGAAGATTATCACAGCATGATCACTTTTATCAATGGGTGCAAGGTTCTAGACTGAGCTCACATAATCTGCATGAGTTTATAACTGATGGCGTATGCTGATAGTTGTATGGAGTTGCTACCCTGATGAGCTGTACAGCAGGCACAGTGATCGATATTGCCACTGATCAATGATCAAACAGATTACACCATGTTTCTGTTGTAAGGCTGTCTCAGTTGACCAACGGTGCGTGAAAGCTTCTTACGACTATTTATCTTCATTTGTCTGTCTAAACAGTTAATTTATGGAGAAGGGATTCTTTTATCTGATATTCAGGGTTACGATATGCTGCGACTAGGTTGATAGTCTGTCCCTGTGTTTTCTGTCTGTAATGTAGCATTTCACACATCCTAGTTCTATGTATGACCGTTTCTATGACTCTTACACTCAAGATACTCTTCAGATAAAGGATGACACCGCCGCCTTTGGCTGATAAGGAACACATCCTCGTAAATGTGCTTCACTTGCCCTGATCTCAGAAGAAAGCCACCTTTCTGAGATAGTAATTATTTTGAGGTTTTCTGTGCTTATTACATTACATAGCTTGTTCAATTTATTCAGGAGGCTAACTGCATTCGTATACAAAACAACTAACTACAGAAGTGTGTATTTGTCCTAAGTCTAGGGGTTTCGGAATCTTTTTTCTTTAGCCTCAGTACATGGAAACCAAACATATTAAGATCTCTATCTTTTGCAGCCGACTACGACCTCAGTTTTTCCTCTTCTTCTCGTTGTTGGTCCCATCAGTAAGACAGAAATCGTTGCGCAAAAATGCTTCAGTTCCTTAAGGTTTATGGGGAATTTTTAGAATAAGGTACCTCTACTTTGTTGGCTCGAATAGAACTTTAAATGGTCAAAGTCTGTTCTCAGCATGGGCTGCCTCCTCTTGTTCATTCTTCATGTCTTTAGCAGGGTGATCCCTGCCATGTTTTCTGGTCATAGCTTGTTTTTCAAACATCCGACCCCACCAAGACCGTGCCGAAAACTGTCACGCTGCTTTACGTTTCTTCTTTTTTCAAGCTAGTGGGAGATTATACACTTCACAAGATTCTACTTTACTGTTTCTGTGTTGATTGGTGATAGCTGGTTCTCAGACTAAAACTGGCTTTTAAGTCCTCCGCCTATTTCTGACTACTTACCATTTTTCAGAGTCACTGGATGTAGAAGACTGACTAGTGTCTAGTGCAATGACCTTCATCTTGATAGCCTAAGGTTGTGGACGCGTCCTCATTAACTGGCTCACTGGTCAGGATGGAACATCCACATCACATGGTTTCTTGAGAGATACTGACAGTACTTCACCTCGGTTCGTTCCATCGATGTATAACTCTTAGCCTGGATTTGTTATCTCTGGGGATGGGAGGAACTAAGGGTACTCGCCCCACTTTGCTCTGTGTAGACTTTTCAAAGCACTCCCACCATAATTTGTAGTTAGTCACCTAACCCAACTTCCGTTCTACCAAAGGACATTCTTAGTATTTTGCACAGCGTCACGTGTGCCAACAGATGCAGTGTCATGGCCACCATCTCAACAATCAGCTGTCCTTTTGGATGCCAACTTCTTTATGATGGTATTCAGAGAAGATTTAACCTCTTTGACCAACCCACGAATGTCCAAGCAGCATAAAAGATAAAGCCGGATGCTCCCAGCATTACTAGACTTTCTGGTTGTTTCAGATATCGTGGTACCACTTTTCACATTCATTACGTTG